CGATATGTCAGATTATCCTAAGAATCATGCTTTATACAATACTACTAATAAAAAGAAAATTGGATGCTTCAAAGATGAAATGAATTCCAAACCGATACTAGAATTTATAGGATTGAGGCCGAAATGTACTCTTTACTATTGAATGAAAGTGAGAAGAAAACCGCGAAAGGAGTTAATCGAAGTGTTATTAAAAGGAAACTTAAAAATTATAGAGATTGTTTAGAGAAATCTATCTTCACCAGAGAATTACAATATAATATTCAGAGTAAAAACCATCATCTTTTTACCATGGCTCTAAATAAAATCGCACTTTCAGCTTTTGATGATAAAAGATATATTTTAAAGGATGGAGTGCACTCCTTAGCCTGTGGGCATATCAATATAAATAATGTTTAATGGAAAACAAAATGGATTATTTTTAAAGTGGTCAATGACTTCACAGTGGAGTTATGGGAAGGGGCTGGCACCTGGGTATTCAAAAAAACCCCATGACTGTGAAACTGTGAAGAGAGACCCTCAGGTGTCAGAAAGCTGAGGCTTTTCGATAAAAGCCCATGTGTGTGTGTGTGTGTGTGAAATTTTAATGAGTATTATGTTATTCTTTCCAATATTTTAACAGTTATTTCTTTCCAGAAAAGTAGATATTTTGTTTCAGGGTTCAATCCTATATTTTGAATCATAGAACATAAAAAAAAAAAAAAAAAAAAAAAAAAAAAAAAAAACCTTCTAAAATAGATTATTTTCTTTTTTCATCCCTAGAGGACGCCATAAGCAATTCCTAAATACATTATTTTCTTTTTTCGTCCCTAGAGGACGCCATGACTCCGTTGCCAAATTAAAAAAACTAACTTTAAATGAAAAGCAGGAGGTCTACAACTCAATCAGCAGTCTACCAACACCTCAACTCCACTCGTGACCACGCCTCCTAGTGTGATGACGTTGCCTTTGGCCCCGCCCTCTGTGATGTCATTGACCACGCCCCCTGACCCACCTGTCGCAGAACGCCCATTTTCTATCTACTTCCGTGCTTCTCGCACGTTACTTCAACAGCGTTTTGTATGGCCTGGTATGTAGAAGGATATCGCTGCATGGGCGAGGTCATGTACAGACTGTCAAATATCAAAAATTCACAGGCACACTCGAACTCCATGTCAATGCTTTGAGTTACCATCTGCTCGCCTTAGCCAAGTACATATCAATTTGATTGGACCCTTACCCCTATCACTAGGTTATACATATCTTCTTACGTGTGTCGACAGATACACACGTTGGCCAGAGGCTATCCCTATTGTAGATATGTTCGCCGACACTGTGGCGAAAACCTTTTTTTCTGTATGGATTTCACGGTTTGGAGTACCCGAGTACGTTACCACGGACCAAGGACGGCAGTTCGAATCTCAATTATTTACTGCATTAACAAAATTCTTGGGAACTAAAAGGATCCGTACATCACCGTACCACCTGAATTACAATGGACTTGTCGAGAGGTTCCATCGCTCTCTTAAACAGGCCATTAGATTCCATACTGCTATTCACTGGGTTGATGTCCTTCCTATTGTGTTGTTAGGACTCAGAACGGCTATCAAAGAGGACCTGAGTTCTTCAAGTGCTGAAATGGTTTATGGTACCAATTTACGTTTACCGGGAGATTTTATAAATCCCGCAAAAAACTCACCCGATGTCCAGCCCCACGCGTTCCTCAAACAATTGGTGAAACCATGGCTGCATTATACCCTAAGCTCACAAGCATACATTCTTCAAGACCTGTGTTTGTTCCTAAAGAACTCGCTACATCCTCACATGTGTTCTTACGGTGTGATGCATCAAAAAAGTCCTTGGAGCCTACCTATACAGGCCCACACCTAGTTCTAAGTCGTACATCCAAGAACTATCGGATACTAATCGGCGACAAAGAGACAGTGGTGAGCCTTGATTGTCTCAAACCAGCCTTTATCTTAGCACCACAAACTGTCGAGACTGGTACGTCAGTCCCACCTCCTTCGAAGGCACCTTCATCGATTGGGTCTACACCAACATGTACTACATCAGTTCCTGTGCCTGGATCCCAGAAAACAAGTGCTCCTCAACATACACGTTCCGGACGTAGAGTCCGATTTAACCCACGGTACCTTTAATTCGTTGCCACTGGAGGGGGGAGTAGTGTGGCGACTCTGTAAACATGTGTTGTACTCGCCAACCGCGCGCCATTATCACTAACTGTAACCGAAGGTGATTTCGGCGGCACACAGTCACGTCTCGTCGTCGGTGCGGTTGGTCGCTCGCTTTCCTCCAACGTGATTGTCTGAGACCTCTCGAGACCAAACTGGAATTAGGATTTCATTCAAAAACAGAGAAATTCATGATCCAAATGGAATTTAAAGTTTGGATTTAATCAGGCACTCGCATTAAATAACAATACTTAAATCTGCAGAAGATATAAAAGTTTTAAAACATGCATTGTAAGATAGCAATCAAAGAAATCCTTTTCCTAAAATAAAAGTATGTGTCGTATAATCCAAATAGCAACAAACTTCTAGCAATGTTGTGCTGAAACAGCATAAGAAAGGCACCACCTAAGCTCTCTTTTTACATTCAACAATAAGTTGAAATGCATTAACATGATGCTATACTAACATATTCCAAGTAAATAACTATTCTCTTTACAAGAGATTACTCAATACTAGTAAGTCCCAATTTTCTAACATGGTAGTCTTCAAGTTAGGAGTCTCAAGGTTGCTGAGAAAAACTGCATAACAATAGTCCAAATACATTACAAAATAAAAATTCCTAAGAATTTGAGTTTGCAGTATGGCCTGAGCAAATAAAATGGAGTCGTGATTCTAAAAAGTTTGAGAACCACTGCTCGAACGAATATACAAATGATACAACTTTAATTTCAACATTGAAAAGAGAGCAATTCAAAGATACAGAGATACTGGCAATAATCATGGTGCATTGAGCTGTCTGAAATTTAACAATGACTGATATTACATTTTATGGTGTATAAGAAACAGCCCAGATAGATTAGATTGACAATTCTTTACTTTCTTCCCCTTTCTAGCCACTGTGAAAAGTTGAAATTTTTGCTTAGATGATGCAAAAGGTTTGAAATAGCTACGTGTTGTGCTAAGACTGAAACTATACCCCCTGCACCACACAACGATGTGAATAATCATCAATTGAAAACAATCTTAAACCTGTCTGCTGTATCATAATTAGTCACAGCTTCTTCTTCAACCACAAAAAATAAATACTGAACCATACTTAAGCATTTCAATTTTCTTTGTAAAAGTGAATATATATATATATGTCTTTTGCTAAGTAAAAAGGTACCAATGTAAGCTTTCTCTCAGCAATTAATTTGTAAATCAAAAACGTTTGACACTAGAACTCATTTAAACTTAACAATTCATTTCAATTTTTTCACTTAAAAGTTCTTGCTTTGTTTAACATATTGCCAAACCAATAGACTTCCCATTCTACTTACTCTGACTAGCAGTACATTAAAATCATTCATCAAAAACTAAAAGTATTTCATTATAGCAAAGTATTCCAATTAAAGTAATTTAATGTTCTATAAACCTAATATTTCATTAGTAGGTTCTCTGTTTCTTACAATTTATGTAACTGGAATACATGATAATGACTGTTATTTTCATTAAAACTTAACTAACTTTATATTAAATGGCCCTGAATAATTAAAATTTATTTTGGATTAGTAAAGATATGAATAAATTAGAGGTTTTAAAATTTAGCTAAGTGTTACAAAATACTCCGAGAAAGCGTGTATGTGTATGATTTCAGCACTCATATCTGCATTCCAGTCTTCAACGAATAATTTTAATATTGCAAAAGATTAATTCCTGTCTGCTTGTTGTCTTTGCTAATTAAAAAACAAACTTATTATGAATTACCACTTCCTAACTTCACTCTTTGGGTGTAATGCCATGATGGATGTCAATAGATCATGATACAGTATAGCAACAAAAATGAAAATGTTGATGCAAAACTGAAGACAAGGACAGAGCACTGAGGTACGTTAGGTTATTTGAATATGAAAAAGCACAAGAATGGCTATTTGCCTGAGAAGAGAGATGCCTTCATGGAGGACTAAGGGAAACTGGCTTATACTCACATTACATGGGAGAAAACCTTGAAAACCAACCAACCATGCAACCAATCTGTTCGCCTGGTATTCAATCATGGATAAACTCTCAGAGTCAATGGTCCTAACCACTCAGCCACTGGTAGGAAGAGCCACTGAGGTAGAAAGGTACTCGGAAAATGTCAAAAGAATGATCAACAACTGATTCAACTAATCTAGAAAACTAACTATCTGTACATCAATATGATTGAGGAGGGGGAAATTCAGCCAACATTTAGATGAAGGGATGATGCCTTGGACATTTCCAATGTAAAATAGTTGAAGCTAATTTTATAACATAAAATTAAGTAAAAGAAATTAAAACATATTTGTTGTAATTATGACAAACTTCTACAGATCCATCATAATTCACTTCAGTTCATAGAGATCTTATCAATATAATTTGAATCATTTTCCAATAAAACATCAAGTAATGCTTTGTTCTTTTCCCTCTCACAAACAAACCAACAAAAACAAACACACACACAGAGAGAGAGAGAGAGAGAGAGAGAGGGAGGAAAAAAAAAAGATAGAGAGAGAGAGAGAGAGGGAGGGAAAAAAAAAGATAGAGAGAGAGAGAGAGAGAGAGAAACCCCAAAGAATTTTTTTCCTCTGAGGCCAAACCCATGCTGGAGGGGAAGCACTTTTACAGGACTGGCAATCAGCATGATATATATATATATATATTCCCACACATTAAAACACAGTATGCATCACAGCATATCTTATTTTAGTATAACCTAAAAACACTTTTTCACCAGGCATGCAATTAGAAAAGAAGAAGACAATATTTATACTTATCTAAATATACATGACATAAGCATTAAATGTTATACTTTTATTAACACATAACTAGTCAGAATAAAAAAATCTTTTATTCACAAAGAAACATTGTACTTTGTAGAGTGAGAAATTTAATGAAAAATCTTATTAAAAGCTATTTTTTTTTTTCAAGAACACGTCATGCTATAACATAAATACAAATTTATTAATATTTTATTTTAAAGCTCGCAGACATATTACGGAAATGATTTTAAAATTTCTCTCTATTACATTTTTAAGGAAAGAATCAGATTAAAGAGTTATATTCACTGTACATAAGGCAAGTTATTAGATTTGATTTATTTTCAGCATAACATATTTTCTTCTAAGTATTGGCACACAGAAGAATTAACATCAAAATACAAAACGCTTTTAACATACACAGGATCATGCAATATCTTTACACTCTTTTACAGCCATAACACATAACAACACCTTTTAAATGCAATGGAATGGAATGAAATAAAATTCAAGAAATTTTTCTTTTACAAAAAAAAATTTATTTAAAGTGCTGTGTTTGGAGAGATATATGTAAACATTTGTATAAAGATTCCTGGTCCATTCTTCATGGAATTTACTGCTGGTTCTCCACTGGAGTTTGTTATCCAAACCTTATACTTTGTATCAGTTGAAATACCGCTGAAAATAATTAAAAAAAAAAAATTTAACTTGGAAAATTATATAAATCAAATCACAGTTAAAATTTGAAATAAAGAAAAGAATAGAATATTAATGATTATTCAAAATTCAAGATAAGAGATTTTACAGAAATACCACTTCTTACATTAAGAATGCTTTTGTGTATGAACTTGAATTTTTTTTTTTTTTTTACATAAAAGTGTATGTGGTTTTATAATAAATCTTTTTCACAAAAAATCTCATAGCTTTGCTTTTTTACATTTCTTTAGGGAATCAGCATTCACACTATGGTGTAAAGATCACAATAGCCATAGATATAAGGTGTAAAAGTCATAAAAGTCATTAGCTTCATTGATAGTTGTCACAAGGTCTGAGCAGTAGCCAAGTAGGAAAGGTAAATTTGCACATACATAAATATAAATTTTTAGCTTGCTTTCTTTGTTGTAACTGGTCAGATTTTACATTACTTTGGCACAAAGATGAAAAGTTAGAACATCTGAACAAAATCCTTACAGTAATTAAGACACAATAACACACCGAATAAATACTGATTCAGAAGTCATACAACAAAAATCAGCGTTAATTCACAAAATTTTCACAGGACTAGTTTCGATGGTTTTACCGAACCATCATCTTCAGCTGCAAAACCGCAAATGAACAAGATAGGAAATAATGTTTAGATAAGATAAGAAAGCCTGGACAAGAATAAGCAAGTGGCGCCATCTGTTGGCGAAACCAGAACTAAAACATAATTTCTCTAAAAGCCGAAGGCAAATTTGGATTGGAATTAGGATCGTTAACTAGAACAGAAAGATTTTTATGAATGTGAAATGCCTTCTAGAAAATCCAGTTCTCCAATGGAAGATGTTTTTTTGAATAATTTTGGCAGCAGAAAAATTGAAAGTGTGATTTTCGGACCAACAATGTTGAGCAACAGAAGACTTCTGTGTTTCCTTTTTTCTAACATATGCCTCATGTTCTTTGACGCGAAATTTTAAGGCTCTCTTAGTTTGGCCAATGTAAATTAAACCGCACTGGCAAGGAATCCTATAAATACCCCAGGAATTCATATCCGGAATGGGGTCCTTGAGTATAGAAGTTGGAATTTTATTGATGGGAGAGTAAACAACCCGAAAGTTAAATTTCTGCAAAATATGTGCAACTTTATAGCTAATTGATGGAAAGAAGGGAATGACAACAGAATTTTTATAATCTCCTAAAATAAGAGTGTGGCTTTTAGTGTGTTGAGATGAGAATTTTTTAACTGCTTGATTAATAATGTTGGGTGAAAAACCCCTGTCAATAGCTATTGCTTTTAAATAATTTAGTTCTTCATCAAGGGCTAGTTTGGAGGAGCAAACTTAAAGAGCACGGAAAACATAGGAATAAAATGAAGCTAACTTTTGTTTAGTCGGATGACATGATTTAAAGTGTGGTGGAAGGCAAACCGATGAAGGTTTACGGTAAACTGTAGTACTGAAGTTGGATGTGTTACGTGTGACCAGAATGTCAAGAAACGGAAGAGAATTGCAAGTCTCAAGTTCAAAAGTGAACTGAATAGCAGGATCAATAGAATTCATTGTTGAAAGAACTCTATTTAAATCATCTTTATTACCTTCAAACAGGGTAAAAGTATCTCTACGTAGCGGACCATGCCGGGAAGTTTAAAGTTTCAAACAATTTTGATTCATAATAATGCATGTAGATATCAGCCAGGATGGGACTGAGGGGGCTTCCATGGCTAATCCCTCAGTTTGCTTGTAATATTTATTTTGGAAACAAAATGTGTTTGTTTCAAACAGAGTTGAGTGAGAGAAATTAGCTCATCAATTTCGATGCAAGAGAAATGAAATTCGCGAAGTCTGGTTTTTCTAGACATCTTAATGCACTGGGACATTGGTGAATAATGATTTTACATCAAAGAAACCATGAGTAAATTACGAGGAGAAATGTTTTTAACCTTTTTTACAAACTCTATTGAATTTTTTATGGTGTAAATGTTATTGTCTAATAGAGTGGAAAATCTAGAAACTAAATATTTAGCTAATGGATACGAGACAGTACCTAAATTTGATACAATAGGGCGGAAAGGAATACCATTTTATGAATTTTGGGAAGAGCATATAATCTGGCACAATTCGCAACAGATGGGATAAGCGAATGTTTTAAGTTGCTTGAAATGATTTGCGAAGATTTGATCGCAGTTTTTATTTTGGATAAGTCCGAAGGTGAAGGATCTTTAGGGATCGGATTAAATGGTCCTTGGTTTAAGAGTTTAGTGACACCATCGATGTAAGTGTTCTTATCCATGACGACTATCTGGCCACCTTTGTCGGCCTTTGAAATGACAATATCCGGGTTAGAATGAATCTCGCGCATTGTAGCTCTTTCTCTCGCAGTTAGATTTGGTTTCAAAGATTTATTATTGAATTTCACATTATGAGCGATAAGATGCCTAATCATTTCTTTCTGTGAATCTGAAACTTTACTGAGCTTGAAAGCTTTTTCGATAGGAGCCAAAATCTTTGGAATCGAGGGTTTACAGGTTTGTGAGAAGTTAAAATTATATTTTAGAATTCTCTCTTGTTCTTCTGAAAGACTAACATTAGAAATATTAACTATTGGCTTGATGTTTACAATGGGAAGATTTTTGAACTACTTGAACTGGAAGACTGTAAAAGAAAGTTTTTCGAATTTAACTGCAAGGGTGTTTTTATGACGGTTAACTGCATCTCCGTTCTAGACCAAGACTTTTGTTCAAGGGCAGTGAATTTTGGATATGTTTTAGCGAGTTCCAGATGAAGCTTATAGAGAGTTCATGTTCAATTTTGGACAATTGTTGACGTGTATCCCTTATCACGGACCGAAGTAAGGCAAGTTTGCAATTTAACAGAATTCTTGACACGCGACTCGAAGGTTTTTGATTAGATTTGATTTGAATAAAATTGGGGATCAATTTTTTACATTTACATTTAAGTAAAAAGTCAAGATGATTCAGGAATTTTTGCCGTTTCAGGCGTAATTTAGTGAAACGATTAACGGATGAAGGCATGATAAACAATGCAGAAAATCAAACTAAATTAACTGAGCAATAATAAAGTACACACAAAATACACAGCTGAAGATGATGGTTCGGTAAAACCATCGAAACTAGTCCTGTGAAAATTTTGTGAATTAACGCTGATTTTTGTTGTTTGACTTCTGAATCAGTATTTATTCGGCGTGTTATTGTGTCTTAATTATAGAAGCCCCAAACAGGCTTACATTTTGCTTTCTTTTTTGCACGTGGTGTGGCCGCCATTTTGTGATTGTAGGAGTTTCGGTGAGTACATTTTTGCAATTTTCAAGTTATGTTTATGTTTTGTACATTTGGATATTGTGCTTTGCTTGTCTGATTTCATGCATTTTGCTTACAAACATTTTGTTTTCTATTCATTTCAGTGAGGGATTTTTCTGCTATTTGTGAGTGTACTTTATATTGCTCAGTTAATTTAGTTTGATTTTCTGCATTGTTTATCATGCCCTTCATCCGTTAATCGTTTCACTAAATTACGCCTGAAACGGCAAAAATTCCTGAATCATCTTGACTTTTTACTTAAATGTAAATGTAAAAAATTGATCCCCAATTTTATTCAAATCAAATCTAATCAAAAACCTTCGAGTCGCGTTGTCAAGAATTCTGTTAAATTGCAAACTTGCCTTACTTCGGTCCGTGATAAGGGATACACGTCAACAATTGTCCAAAATTGAACATGAACTCTATAAGCTTCATCTGGAACTCGCTAAAACATATCCAAAATTCACTGCCCTTGAACAAAAGTCTTGGTCTAGAACGGAGAATGCAGTAGTTAACCGTCATAAAAACACCCTTGCAGTTAAATTCGAAAAACTTCTTTTACAGTCTTCCAGTTCAAGTAGTTCAAAAAATCTAATTATATTTCTAATGTTAGTCTTTCAGAAGAACAAGAGAGAATTCTAAAATATAATTTTAACTTCTCACAAACCTGTAAACCCTCGATTCCAAAGATTTTGGCTCCTATCGAAAAAGCTTTCAAGTTCAGTAAAGTTTCGGATTCACAGAAAGAAATGATTAGGCATCTTATCGCTCATAATGTGAAATTCAATAATAAACCTTTGAAACCAAATCTAACTGCGAGAGAAAGAGCTACAATGCGCGAGATTCATTCTAACCCGGATATTGTCATTTCAAAGGCCGACAAAGGTGGCCAGATAGTCGTCATGGATAAGAACACTTACATCGATGGTGTCACTAAACTCTTAAACCAAGGACCATTTAATCCGATCCCTAAAGATCCTTCACCTTCGGACTTATCCAAAATAAAAACTGCGATCAAATCTTCGCAAATCATTTCAAGCAACTTAAAACATTCGCTTATCCCATCTGTTGGGAATTGTGCCAGATTATATGCTCTTCCCAAAATTCATAAAAGTGGTATTCCTTTCCGCCCTATTGTATCAAATTTAGGTACTGCCTCGTATCCATTAGCTAAATATTTAGTTTCTAGATTTTCCACTCTATTAGACAATAACATTTACACCATAAAAAATTCAATAGAGTTTGTAAAAAAGGTTAAAAACATTTCTCCTCGTAATTTACTCATGGTTTCTTTTGATGTAAAATCATTATTCACCAATGTCCCAGTGCATTAAGATGTCTAGAAACCAGACTTCGCGAATTTCATTTCTCTTGCATCGAAATTGATGAGCTAATTTCTCTCACTCAACTCTGTTTGAAACAAACACATTTTGTTTTCCAAAATAAATATTACAAGCAAACTGAGGGATTAGCCATGGGAAGCCCCCTCAGTCCCATCCTGGCTGATATCTACATGCATTATTATGAATCAAAATTGTTTGAAACTTTAAACTTCCCGGCATGGTTCCGCTACGTAGACGATACTTTTACCCTGTTTGAAGGTAATAAAGATGATTTAAATAGAGTTCTTTCAACAATGAATTCTATTGATCCTGCTATTCAG